GAGAGAGAGAGAGAGAGAGAGAGAGAGAGAGAGAAAAGTTGTTGATAGACCTTTATTTTATTTATTTACATGAGGTGCTGAGAATTGAACCCAGTGCCTCACACCAGACAAGTACACTACCCCTGAGCCCTAGTCCCAGCCCCGAGTTTGGTCCTTTTCGATTATGCAAAGATTACAGTAGGTTAAGGGGAATCTGTTCTTTTTAGTGTCATTATATTAACCTTTGCAGGAAACTTTTTCAACTGAACCTTCAGGTAAAACCAGAATAATTTGAATCTTAGCTTTCTGACTTATAAAAGTGACTAAAAGGTCATTGTTTTCTCCAATCAAATACCATTAAAAATATTACTTACAATCATTTTAAAAATGTGGTGTACATTTTTTTTATTAAAGATAAATGGGAGGAAAAGCATAAGTTGAACAAAAACAGAGATCCTCCAGGACCTTACCCTGTTATGTTGTTATTGATATTTACATGAGTAAGTATTCAAACTTCTAGCTAGTTTGCTTCTTAGATGATTTTTGTTTTATAACACAAAAATGGAGAACCAGGATTGAGATATGGCCTGCTATTTTCTGGCAAACCTGCTGTTTCACCTTGTACAAGAATGATGGTTGGCACCCATCAGTCCAGCTCCTAGTTATTCAAACATTATGGCAAGTGCAGAAGAACTTATTAGGATGGCTGAATCATAACCTCTAATGCATGAGCATTTTTATTCCAGGACTTTTTTCAAGCCCAAACATTTTAGACCACTGTAAAATCACTTCTTTTTACATCCTTTCTATATTTTCATGCTACATTTTCAAGTAAAGCAATTTAGGATAAAATGACTATGCATCCATTTTGTGTGTGGAGTCTATACTCCTATCAAGCCTTTGACATTCCAGAGCTTATACTGGTTAATAAAACTCTTTCTGCCATGAGGCTGAAAATGGAAATATTAACATTCAGAGTTGTCCTTGACAATCATGTCAAGCCTGTTTTCTGAGTTAAATAAGCCAGGACTGGGAACGTTTTATATTTGTCAATTGGAAATTTTTAGAATTAAAATAATTTGGTGGCCCGTTTGTCATAAGTTGATTTACTGAATTTAGATAATTCTTTTTCCTACCACTCAATATAAATATATATAATTACATGTTAGAACTAGTAGGGAATAATGTCATACTATTCATAGTTTTACATGTTAATTGTTTTCACTATTTTAATATTTCACTAAAGGAACATGGGAATATCCTAGTTTGATTCACTTTTATTTCTAACTCAGGATGAGTCCATCTGAAGCATATGTGGTCAAATGTACTACATATCTTTTCTGGTATGAGTTGTCTGATTCTGCTTAGCTTATTTATTCTAATATCAGATTTATTGATAAAAGTTTTATGCCTTTGTGAAAGTGATAACACAAAGTACCATCATTTTAAAAATCAATTCAGGAACCAACTTGACTTACTATGAGCAGAGGGAAATAAAAGGACATGGGATTGGTGGCTGAAAATCTTGAAGAATACATAGAACTGGAATAGATTAGCATAAACTATATTTGATTTAATGTTACTTCCAGTATCTTTTGTTCTTCAGTGACTTTAAAATTATATATCATCTTTCATTTCTAATCAGAGCTTAAATTAAAAAGGTTAAGCTGACCTTTCTGAGCACATTCAATGGCTGCAAGGTAACTACTACAAGATTTTTATTTTTCTCAGATTTCAACTCCCAAAATAAACATGAGTGAATATCACATTAGGTGATCTTTCCAATATCTTCAATATACAAGATTATAAAATATCCAAAGTAAATGATCTGATTTTTAAAATTAATTCTTACAAGTAACAAAATTGCCAAACACAAAAATGTGGGTTAAAAAGGTAAATTGTTGTACCAACCTAGGCATGTTTGAATAAGGACCTTGGTCATTGGTATGCAGGATGCCTACCTGCTTTCTTATTTGAGATAATGGATTCATGTCTACTAATTTTTGAAGCCACTTTAAAGTTTTCTTAAGCTATTTTTCATTTAAACTTTAGTTGAATATTGACTTCAGATGGATTTTAGTTTCTCACAAGCAGTTTATACAATGGAGATTTACTGTTGATTTGCTAAAAAAAAAAAATCCTGAAATATGAGCCAAATTATATTCAAATACAAATTTATCCCAAGAGAAATGGATTAAATTTTTTGCCTATTAGAAGATAACACTTTCAAAGCAAAATGCTGTAATAAATGTTAAAATGTTTTTTTTTATCACAAACTTACAATTTATATAAACACACATGTAAACACACACTTGCTAATTTATTATGTATTTCTTGCCATTATTTTTATTCAAGTAATGCTTTTGTAGCATTTACAGATTAAAAAAATCTGTCATGCTCCTAATTAAATTTCTATACCATTATTAGATAGATACAAATGTCAGAGATGTTTGTTCTCTAATGTCAAATAACAATCTTTTTTCCTTATGACAAGGGAAAAGGCCAACAGTGAAATAGAACATTAAAAATGCTTATATTTGATAAACTTGGGTTTTGTTATACCTCTATGAATATTTCTTTCTACTGAAGAATTCTCTAGTTATAGGATCTGAGTAAATTTGTTACATGACCACAATTTATTATTTAAATAATGCTTAGAAAATACACATGGAAGTACATAAGGATAGTGAATTTTTGAATTTGAGTTTCAAGGTGAAGATCAATATTTAATAGAAAGATAATATAATTGAAAATATAATAAGGTCGGGTCTAATGTATGCTCCATGGAACGATGTAGCATGATTCATTTGGCCATGGTATATCTTCGCTACCTGCATAAAGAAAGGGCAGTGGTTACCTCTGTATAATTTTAGGGCTCCTCCTGGTTCAATAATTTACAAACATGAAAGTGCAAACACTTTCAGGTCCTATGTTCTAGAGGCCCATACCTATACACACAATAGAGATCATGTTTTCTGCTTGGGGATCTAAGGCTATCTAATTCCTCCTCCCCAAAATTAGTATAAATTAATAAAATTAGAAAGATGTTTAGTTACAAGCATT